TTCCATGAACATTACAAGAAAGTTAAAGACCTATTGATTTAGAGAAGCCTTGAGTCAAGCACTGTCATTTAGAGTCTTTTCAAAGTTGTGAATGGTAGTTGGCATGACATGATTGAGTGAAACAGGATTGTCCCTAAACACTTGAGTGATTTGAGTGCATACACTACACCCTGTGAGGTTGAGACTGACTGCTACTTGTTCATATGTTTGCTTTGCTGAGATAGATTGGATTAAGCTGTTATAATGCTTGCTGAAATTGCTGAAGTTTGAATCTTAAGTTGAGAATTCTTTTGCTGCAGTTCTGATTGATGAAATAGCTAGAATTGGTTTGATTTTGCAGGTTTGAATAAGCTGAAATAGGATTTAGAAGTTTCTTGTTGTGTGTCTTTAGTTTTTTTTTGAACAAGTCTTTGCTTTTGCTTTTTCTTTTTAGTTTGTCCCTGCCCAGGAGGGAAGTTGTCTAAGTGTGGGGGTGTGATAACACTCTAGATTTACATATTTTTCTCTGTTAAAAATCATTTCTTAGATTTCTTTAGTTTTTAATTTCTTAGAATTAGGCTAGTTTTATGTTTTTCTTTTAATACTTTAGAATTGTAAAATTTTAGTTAAAAATAGGTTTTTAGATGTAATTTTTAATCTTCGATAATAATTAGGAAATTAGTATGTTTTTGAAATTCTTTTAATAAAAATGTTTGGTTTTAATTAGGTTTTAATCTCATAATATTTTTTTTCTAACTCTTTTATTATTTTAGGATCTGGTTTGGGCTTGAACAGCCAGCAGAAACACTGGGCCCTGATCCATCTTTGGGCTATTTTGTGGCTGAATCTATTGAACAGCAGGGAGCAACAATTGGGCCAATTCTCCTTTAATGAAACGTTGCGTTTCAGAGGCTGTCATTGGGGTCTCAGATTTGCAAATCATTTTGGCAAAATGAAGAAGTCTTCGTGCATTTGAGTAAAAGAAAAGAACCTTCGAGCTAAGCTAGGGCTCCCATGAGTGAAGAGAGTTGAAGAGAGGAGCACATTACCTGCCCAAAGGAGAAGAGCTTCCTGGATAGCTGACCGGTGAAGATAAAGAGGAGAAGATGATTGGA